AGATGAAAATAAACGGCATTATGCGTTTTCCTACATTAATGCAACCAGTTAAATCAACATTTTCCTGGTGGAAATATCAGGGTATAGTGTAAAAACGGGTTGTTCTTTTATTTTATTTTTTTAAAGAAATGTGCTGAAAGCCACCAGACAGCTGTGAAGGAAGGAAGGACATTTCTATTTAGTTACACTTGAAAACGCCATGGAAAAAGTAGGTGAAGACTGTGTAGTGTGACTGTCAATTCCAGCCTTTATTGGTCATCACTTCCAGAAACATTCTGTCCTTAAGAACGTTCCTCATCCAAACCATTTCATAGCTGAAGTCTGACCTATCCTGATTTAAGGGGGAGGGAATGGAAAAAATGAGATTAAGGAGAAAGTACAGGGTGAGACTCACCCCTGCACACCTGGAATCTGTCTGGAATCTTGGCAGCTGCAACAGTCAGGAACCACATGGTATCCACTCTTTCAGTGATAAAATTTTGTAGGTTTATACCATCACCCAAAAATATTTCTTTATTCTTTATTATGTTGTGTGTTTGTGTTGGGTGTTTTTATTGAGTGTGTGTGTGTGTTTCTGTGGTGCATGTATGTGTGTGGTGTGTGTGTGTGTGTATGTGTGTGTGTGTGGTGCGTGTGTGTGTGTACAGGATTGCATATGTGTGTAGTGTGTATACTGAGGCACACGTCTCCTTCCACTAGGTTGATCCTGGAGATCAAGGTCAAGTCATCAGGATTAGTGCCCCAGGTTCCTATACCTGGTGAATCATCTTGCTGGCCCTCAATCATCCCCATTGCACAAGCTTTCCATAAATATAAGGAATGAGGTTTAAATGTACACACTAGTAATTTAGCATCCAAGGTGCCAAGTAAAAACTATTGGGAGTTTGAGGCTAACCAGCTCTATCTGTGATCCAATCTCATAAACTCAAAACTAAACAACAACAACAACAAAAAAGCATAAACATAGAATGAAAAATAAAAGTAGAAAGGAAGTGATGTCACAGTGTGCTCTAGCCCACCTGCCTTAACTCCACACTGCCTTCCACAGGCTACACTTATCTTCAGTCCTGAGAATAGGATGACCTTTCTGGCTTGATGGGAGAAAATTTTGCTGTGTCCTACACTTTGTAAGTTTTCAGGATGCCTCAGTCTACTTTTCCTCCGCCACTTTATTCTCTTTGGTCCCGCATGGGACCTTCCCTTCAGACCTTCACAAGGATGCATCTTTTGAAACTTTTCTGAGCTGTACTTTGGGCATCCCTTGGCGCCTGGAGTGGACGGTTTGCCCCCGATGAGGCCTCTCAAGCAGTGGTCAGCATTTTATTCCCTTGCTTTTGGAAGTGTGGCAGTTTTTCTCTACATATGGTTCTCTGACATGGCGGCCTGCCCTGCAGCTAGCAAATGTTTGCACAGAAATATCTGCTCCAGATGAAGAGAATCTTCCCAAGGCTACGGCTGCCTGGGACAGTTCTTTTGTGCACCCCTGAAGCCTCCCTGAGCCCTGAGCAGCTACCTTTGATGTACATTTTGTGATTAGGAAAGAAAAGAGAAAATCAAATAGCATTTTGTTCAGCCAAGCTTTATCTCATAGATGAGAATTTTGTTGACTGAAGGCTTTCTCAGATGTGAACTTTGCCCTTTCCTATTAAACAAAAGGGTTACACTGAGATTGCCTTTTCTTTGATTTCTTCTGAATTTATTCTCTTGGATATGTTAGGGCATGATATTTCATCAGCAAAAATGAATGAGATAATTCTTTTCTAAATCTCAGTTCCTTTTGGTTTCTTGAGAAAGAAATCACCCAAGCATCTAGTCCCTAGTTCAAAGAGTCACCCTTCAAGAGGCAGGCACTACAGCCTGGAGATCATGAGGGGTGCATGCTGTGTTGGCGGACTCTAGTTTTGCTTCCTTACTAGCAAACTTTTTAGATAATGACACACCCTTGGACAAAACATTGCCATATTATTTAAATGGCTGTTCTCTTCTCTCTGTTTATAATTTTATTTTGTTTGATAAGCATATATTAACTAGCCCAGACTTGCTTTGAACTCCTGATATTTTTTCCTAAACTTCTCAAATGCTGAGATATACCACCATGCTTGGTCTAATAGAATGTTTCCTGGGGCAGATGGATTAATTATAATACCTTATTCTCTATACTCAACCAAGGGTACTAATTTAGACAAAAGAAAGAATAAGTTGGAAATAGCAGGCCATCTTTTCTAGCCATTCACCATCCAAGTGGGATTGTGCCAAGCATATCAGAATTCCTTTGTTAGAAGAGACATCAATTGGTAATAGGAAAATACAATTTCACCTCTTGAGATAAATACTATGCCATCATTGGTGAAGACGGAGGTAACGTAGGATAATCAAACATTATGTATCTGACTGTCATCTATCTAATGTAATGTTTCTCTCCTCTGTAAATCTACACCACACTCTTGATTACTAACTAGTCTTTGCAGAAGGCCGTACTCTGTGTACAGTAAATTAAGCTTTAATTCCAGAGTCCAATGGAATAATTGACCTCAAAAACAAGAAGAATGAATAGGCTGTTCAGAGCTCATGATTAGAAGGTGCTTTCCAGTCTCTATAATCGTATTTTTCCATTCAGTGATTTTCGCATTTTTTTTCTACCTTTTATTACAATCTCTAACACCTGTCACCCTCCTCCTGGGTCAGCACACCCAAGTTCCCCTTTTTCTTGGTACTAAGATTAAAGGTTTTACTTAAGATATTTTTATACTTGGACATTAAATATTTATAGCATTATTGCTCCATTTTAGGGCCAACTAGCTGCTATTTATGTAAAAGTTTTTGTAGGAACTTGACCTCATAAAGTCGTAAGTCAAGCTGGCATGCCATGTTCACAATCATCTGCTTCAGTACTCACTCTCTTTACTGTATCCTGAAGGTTAAAAAGTTTATATCTTTCAACTTACGTTTTCTTAGCTAAGATTTTTAACTGTAGAAATTTATTGGTACTGTGATAATTTGATACCTCTTTATAGTGTATAATCATTAAATCAGAGTAGTTTTTATTTCCTTATACTTAAACACTTTAATTTTTTTATTAACATACCATTATATATATATATTTTGTGGGTGTGATATATTTTATACATACATCTAATATGTCCTGATCAAATCAGGAATATTAACACTTCCATCTTCTTCCTAGTCACAAAGGTTTAATAATGTATAAAGTAGTTTTGCTTTTAGGGAATATAAAAATATATTTTCTGGTTTGAAGAAAAATTGCACAGATTCTATTAGTCGTGGAGACTAGAGAAAGTCTTAAATTTTGACACATCTGTGATGAACAGAGTTTCTCTATTCAAGAGAAGTAATGTACAGAAATAAAAACCATGGGGAAATATGTTACAAATTGGGTGCAAATATTTAATTCTTTTTTAAAAATCTTTAAACTGGTTAAACTCCTATCGCAATTAGGCTTAGCTAATGTCTGTAGGCTGGAAATAGTTTCCCATTTGTTCAGACTTTGTACATAGTAAGCTTTTATTAAAATAAAAATAGCAATGTAAAAATAGAGAAGTATTCTGTCTCCAAGAAAAACAACTCAACAGAGTTCTCCATAAACTCCCTGTTGCCTTGGCCTTGTTTGAAAACAGCATAAAATAGTTATGATCAGTGGGGATGCAAATTAATTATCTAGAAGATGTTTAATTCCATATGAATCTGAATGGAAGTTCTAGGCTCAAATTCTCAGGAAAGCCAAATTGGTTTCTAGAGACCCTGCAGAGGAGGGTCTAACAACTTTCCCTTCTGTGTTTGGGAAAGAAGTGCCCAGAGCTCAAGGGGGTAGGGCGGGGGGGGGTCCACCTAGAAGGGAGGACATAGCTTCCAAGAACAGAAGGAATTGAAAAAGTCAAAGGATCTTTTCTCAGCCCTTTCTCACCAGTTCACACTCCGAAAATGGGATGCAAACCTTGAAGCCATTTTCCCAGGCTCTCGTTTGGAGAATGACGTCTATGCTGATGCATCTCCGGCCAGCACGAAGGACCACCAGTGAGGCTGCCTGAGTCCACTGGCTTTAGTCTCCATCTTAGTGCACCAGGAAATTTAGAAACACCCACATGTGGGAAGGAGGAATTCCTTTGTTGTTAAACGTTTTTCCCTAAAATGCTCCAAGTCAGAAAGGCCAGCTGTCAGTATTATGCTTGAATTCTATTAAGTGATAACCTATATTTATAATAATAATTCAGGCTATCTCATGATTTTCTTATTCATATAGCCATATTAGATATTTCCTCTATAGCTTTAAGTGATATGATTGCTTGATGACTTGTTCACAATGTCACAGAATATTGTTAGTTGGTTGTTGAAAGGAATTTGAGAGAGTCAAAAATATTACATTAATTTTAACACACCTTTTACCAATATAAGCAATTTAACTGAATTATAACCTATGCTGCCACCCATTTGTAAATAAGCAAAGGAAATGTGATTATCAGTATGCATTTATTGTTACATTAATGATGAACCTTTGCCCATTATATCTGCAGTTTATTTTGATGAACTTCTGTCAAGTCATTTTCTGTCCTAAAATTTAATAATACTTGGAAGAATAATTGAGCCATTATTTGAAAGGCATCAATTGTTCATCTAAAATTAACTGATATGTCTGAAACTGAAATCATGGGGCCTTCTGATTTTGTTGAGTACTAAAAAATAACAGTTGTGAACAGAATCTCAATGCTCCTTAATAGTCCAGTAATAACTTAATCATAAGATTGTTTTCCTGTATAGCTGCACATTAAATGTGCCTAGGTTGTGCAAGAATGTAGCTCAGTGGCAGAGAACTTTCCTTGCGAGTGTGAGGTCCTAGGTTCGAGTCTTAACTTCACCGAAAGAAAGAAAGAAAGAAAGAAAGAAAGAAAGAAAGAAAGAAAGAAAACTAAGTTATTAAGGTAAATAGTCATATTGAGCTTTCCACAGATTATTCATGTATGGCTGCTTTCTTATTTGCTGTCTAGAATTTTTCCGGGAGCTGCTGGAGAATGCAGAGAAGTCCCTAAATGACATGTTCGTCCGGACCTACGGCATGCTGTACATGCAGAATTCGGAGGTGTTTCAGGACCTCTTCACTGAGCTGAAAAGATACTACACAGGGGGTAACGTCAACCTGGAGGAGATGCTCAATGACTTCTGGGCTCGGCTCCTGGAGCGGATGTTCCAGCTGATAAACCCCCAGTATCACTTCAGCGAGGACTACCTGGAATGCGTGAGCAAGTACACCGACCAGCTGAAGCCCTTCGGGGATGTGCCACGGAAACTCAAGATCCAGGTCACGCGCGCTTTCATTGCGGCTCGCACCTTCGTCCAGGGCCTGACAGTGGGCAGAGAAGTTGCCAACCGAGTTTCCAAGGTAACTGAAGGCGTTACAGTTGGTCTTCCTTTTTTTCTTAAACAAACCAAAAAAAAAATGGTTATGGTATCTGCTCTTAAAGTCATTGGTGCATGTCCAAGGTTAAATATATTTTTTTCTTTATACAAGAGAAAGAATTTAAGCAGTTTCTTATGGTTTAGCAATTAATGCAAATATTTATCAGCACTGTAGCAGAGTTTTCATAGCGAATACAGTTCAAACAGGGTGGCTTGCAGCTAGCGTCACCACGTGAAATTGGGGGATAACCGCCCATGGACCGGTCCACTCAGGTTCTGATACTCAAGAGAATGACAGCGCTCTCCAAAGATGCTAAAAGTAGAAACAGGGCAGGGGCACCTGGCGTCTCTTCCTTATCAGGGTGGCTCAGGGCCTCATTGGTGAGAGTGGAGCCTTGCCTGGCACCTGTGGAAGCAGAAGCCCGTGGGGTGGAGGTGGGGGTTCTAAAGGATACAAAGGGTAGGTTCTGGAGGCTACTCCCTTGAGTCATCCTTTATCTTGGTAATTCCATGCTGTGTGTTGTGATGGTCTTATGAGAAAGATAAATCACTAATCCACTTCGGGGCCTCAAGGATAATGTCTGTAAACCTCTAATGCAAGGGATCATTCTGGGCCACCGGCTTTCAGCGTGGAACATTTCCTACGCAGAGCGTATCTGCTTCTGTTTAAGCTCTGCCTTGACATTTAACTGCTCTTATGAGGTGGGCCTGCCCATTTATGAGGTCAGCCCTACAAATAACCTAAAAGATGATTTATATAAGAAGTCAAGGGAAAACAATATATAAAAGGAGCCTGGTATTATCTCTCTTAAAGAAGGTCATATTTGTACAGAGATTATTGCCAAACAGTATTTTTTTATTGCAGGTCTGTGCCCAAGAGTCCCAGAGTTGTATTTTTTTCTTTTTCTTCTCTTTTTCTTTTTTCCCCTTATTGGTACTACTCTGCAATATTTCTTTTTTGTTCTTCCTCTTTATCTCATCATTTACATCTTGGCATAAAGACAATGTAGTCTACACTCCTAAAGGTATCTCTCTATGGCATGACTTACAAAATTCCTAGCAGTCCATTTTTATAAATTATCAGTTTCTAAAATGTTACAGCTTATGAAAGCATTTTTAAAGGGCTTCTAAAGCAATAATCATAATGAATAAAATGATATAAAGATCATATAGCAAAGATAGCTAATGTGGTATTTTTCATTGTACATCAACTCTATCTGACCTATCAAAGGAATAAGTTCCTCAGAAGTGGTTTAATAAGGAAGCAGCCAGGTGAAATACTAAAACAATGTATGATTCTGCGGGGATGATATGGAAAATTCAGACAAGTACAGGAAGGAAAGGTGTGTCCTATGTGCCATGACCAAGATATATCTTGCTGTAGGACATAAAATTAATGAAATTGTAGTTCAATAAGTTAAATTAAAATGCAGTCACAGAGGCTTTAAGAGGGAAGCCTTCATTGCTGTTGGAGGATGAAATGTCCATTTGCAGAGCCTGAGGTGAAAAGCATGGGTAAATATGTGCACTGCTTTTGTTCTTGGTGTTGAGTCCATTTCACGGATGTGAGAAACATTTGGCTTATATAGTATGAAGTATAGAAGATCCCAAGAAGACAGGAATGTATACGTTTTCCTGTAGAATATCTAAGGCGCCAAAATGAAATATAGTCTAATGACCGTTTTTACCTTTTCCCTGAGGATAGCATTAATAACAGCCCAGGATTTCTTCCATGGTCTTTCACAGGGAGTTGTACTCTTGGGTATCTGCTTGTCAGTTTCTATTATGATGAAGGACATTAGGAACCAACCATGAGTAGAATGTCTCCTTCAGAGTTTTCAAAAATTCATGAGGGCTGTGTTAAACAAAACCAGTTTCTTTCTATAAGCGCCAGCTCCCGAGGTTTGGGGTATAGTTTGTGGGTCCTATAACTGAAAATGTTAACTATTCTATACAGATCTTGGCTTAACTTAACTGGGGTCCATTAGTCCTAACCATCCCAAACATAAAGCCCTCATTGGCATTTGGTCTCTGAGTTTGGCACAGAAAAAGATGAGATGATCTGTAGCTCTGTGGGTGGGAAGATAGACAGCAGCTGGGTAGATAAAAGAGGGAACTCCACATTCAAAGAAGCTGAGTGATTACTTTTATGAAATAATTTGTAACTCACAGATTTTCAGATTTTCACTTTCTTGTTATAATTTCCAGAAAATCTGCAGTAGATTAGAAAGGCAGCCGTTAGTTCGATGGTGGCCTTCTGACTACTGTGCATACCAAGGACATTATAGGTTAATAGCCTGAGAGGAGAAGAATGAACTAAATTTGATGGTTCAGCCTCTACAGGGCAGAAGTATCCACATCTTCTGCTGATAGAGAGACTTAGAGTTGGTGGCAGAAGTTTAAAGAATTCAAAGGAAGTTCAAAGGTCAAGATCAACTACTCTCATCATCGTATTTTGGGAATTTGGTTCCCTCCAATTTCTCCTTTCAATTAAGTGACAATTTAAGTCTATGAAAGCAACATTAATAGTGTCTAATTAATTGTTTTGACTGGAAAATTAGCTTTTTTGGCAAAATACAGCAGTTTGAGACAAATGTTTTGACAGAACATATTAGGGAAATTCCTTTTTTAAAAGTGGAAGATTAATTTGTGAGTCTCAACTGAATTATGTCTTAAACTTAGGCTTGCCATCTCATGGATACAAATAATCCTTCTTCTAGCCTTGAAAATGGGGAAATCATATTTTGTGACCACAGCCATAGCGCTGGGTGAAGCGTGTGTGATTCTCTAGTGAGCACCTAAGGTCAGTGGGCTAGGATTGATTTTCTGTGTGGATTCCCATTTTTGAGCATGGCAAGAGTTGTGCCACATGGAGTGTGAGACTTTTGTATAGTGAGTATAGCACCCATGCTTTAGCTGAGCCCATCAAAAGTGACCTGTCTAGTTGGACACATCCATGCCCCGTAACTGCCCTTGTTCCCTGCAGTGACGGATGCACACGTGTCCAAGTAGAAATGTAGACGAATTTTTAAAGAGGCATTTTTGAACCAATGCAACTAGAAACATCTTCATTGCCTCATCTAGACGATATCAACAGTGATCGCTCCACACTATGGAGGCCTTTGGAGCACAAACATGAACTGTACCATACTCAACATTTGGATCTCACAAAGCTTATTTCAAGAAGGAAACCCATAAGCTGCCAAAGATGACTCACCATTGATACTATCCTCAAACACTGGGAAGCTAAGCAATACCACTCAGGATCATACAAAAGAATAAGTAAATGCGGTAAACTCTGAAACTTCAGACTGAAAATGAAGATCGCACAGTGATGCAGATGATGTTGAGCTGTGCAGTCAGGCAAAGCCTCGGTGGAGCTTTTAAAGCCTCAGTGGAGCTTTCGCTGGCTAACTAATGCTAGATTTAGAGGATGAAGGAGGGATCTACATGCATCACATGTAAGATATTTCCATCAAATAAATTAGTGTAAACAAATTCTTTACCTGTTGGCCAACCATGACTGTTTTTATGTGTAGGTATGATCCTGTTTATAAACTTCCACACACATACACACAGAGGTATAAGCACAAACAAGTGTATTTCCCAGCCCACACAACACAGTGAAAGCTGAAAACTATGCTAAGATCAGTCACATCAACTTTCCAAGTCATAGCATCGATTTATTTCATAAAAAGTGAGTCAAGAGCAGAGCAGAGAACCATTGCATCTGAAATACTAAGAGATACTGTCATCTGTATCTCTAGTCTTTCTTCCTATACTTTGAAAGGCAAGTGTGGCTTTTATGTTTTAGGAAGACATAGGAATTTTTATTGTGCTTGTGTTTTCTGAGCAAGAGTTTGCTTTTAACTGAGAAGACGAAGAAGCAAATTACCTTCCACAGTAAATATGCCCTCTCTGATCACATTGGAAAAACATTCTGGAAGAAACACTGCGTATTCTACTTATTGGGGAAATTGGAATTGGAATCTGTTTTTAATATTTGAAGTTTGAAAAATTTTAAGATGTAAAATAACACCTGTGGTACCTATCACATGAATTATTAGTTTCATTCCTTCTGTAGTAATGTGTTGATTCGAGTTGATTTTGTGACATTTTGTGAAACTGAAAAGGACCACAAAAAGGCCACAAATGGAAGAATCATTTTCAGAGTTCATCTGAGGTTTGTGTATTCTCTTCTGTAATTGGTGAATGTCCAATGGACCAGTAAAACCTCAGTTTTATATAGCGTTAGAAACATAAAGTTAAGGACATTCACTTTTATTTTTTCTTTGCCATGTTGTTTGTGAACTGCATAGGTTTGCTGCTCACAAGCACTGGAGTACTTCTCTCTCTCTCTCTCTCTCTCTCTCTCTCTCTCTCTCTCTGTCTCTGTCTCTCTCTCTCTTTCTATGTGTGCGTGCTCAGGTGTGTGTGTGAGTGCATGTGTGTGTGTGTGAAAGAGAGAGACATTCTTGCTATGAGGCATATGCCAAAGTCAGAGGACAACTTTTGGGAGGCAGTTCTTTTTCTTTTACCAAGTATTCTTCAAGTTATGAAATGCAGATCTTAGGTCTTGGTAAGCAGTTTGGTAGAAGGTGCCCTTACCTGCTGTGCCGTCTCCTCGGCCTTTAAAAAAGTTACTGAGGAAGAGTAGATATATACAAAATAATTGGTGAGCCAGACAGTTGTAGCTCATAAGTTCACTTAGATATCTAGGCTTACAGCTTCATAGTTATTGCTGTCTACTTTATGCCTTTGGATGCCACATGCTTGAAGATCATCATTTGAAGCATCATTTCACACCTCTCCAGTACTGCTCAGGTTCTGCCTGTTCTCCGAGCATCTGTCACCGTCAAAAGGGCCTGCGTTGTGTACCAAACAACAATATATCTTTCAGCATCTTATTTCCAGGCTTAGCGTGTACTAAGTTCCTCTCTATTCCTAAAACATTTATTGTACTGTATTCTTACAAGATAATAA